GACTGACAGACGAGAACATTATAGTGTGTCTGGTAAAATTATATACATTTTTGTTACTGTTACAAAAGTATTTGGCACACGTTCAAGGGACAATTCCTCACGTTTTTTGTGTGTGTTTTTTCTCAGTGATGCATATAAAACTGTGCTGCAGGGGGATCCAGGATTGAGGACATTCTGTACCCTAAAGACACCTCAAATCTGTCCACAGCAGCAGTTAAAAATATTAAAATAATAATAATAACCACAGCCTACGGGAACAGTGAGGACATCAAACAAGCCTGAAAACCATTTAGTCCGAGTGCTGAAAGGCTGCTCCATGTTCTCACGAGGAGTGCCAGAGATGAGTATCAGTTTGGGCTTTTATTTTGAAAAAAAATCTCTCACAATGTATCACACGTAAAGTCATCTGAAAATCAAAGCGTTTTCAGATGGAATTTTACATAGTTTAGGAAGATTCATCTTGTCTTCTTAGTAGAATTAAAAGTATTGGGTTCTTCTATACCAGACTACATAAGGTTTTGTGATGTTATCATTGCATCACAAAACCTTATATTGTTGGGTATAGAAGAACCCAATACTTTTAATGGAATTCAACATGTTTTAAGATCAGGACCTAAGAAGTCGACAGTTGTTCAAGAGCAGAGTTGCTTTGAAATCATATCGATATCTTAAAGTTGGAGGATCTAACTTTTTGCATATTTAATACATGGAGCTTGTACCAATAGAAAGAGACTTTGATCACTTTACCACACACACACACGCACACACACAGGTCAATGACGGATAAGGTTTTTTATAGGACAATTTCAAGGACAATTTAAAAAACACAAAACACAGTTGGTTAAAGCTTTGCAATGTCATGTATAGATGCATACATGTTGAAATCCTGAATTAAAGGTACATAGGAGGATTTTCTTCTTCCGGGTGGATCTTCAAGACTATTGGTCCTTCCAATTGTCAATCATTCTGGTGATACGTGCTCGGCCAATGAGACCAGAGAGTTTTGTTCAAAAAGAGGAGAGGGCGGTTCTTCCCTAAAATTTGGAAAAAATCCTTTAGCCTTAAAAATCTCACCTTTAAATGTATTAATTTAATCAGCATAACTTAAATTTTAGTAATATGTGTCTAGAAACTAATTGTATACATTTTTGTGGAACTGCCCCACATACAGATAGAATCATAATTCCAATAAAGTAGCGGCCACCTATTTACATGTAGTTTGTACGCTTATTTTTCCTGTTAATTGCGTAAAAATTATGCAAATTAAAGGAAAAGGCCATTAACTTCAGCAAACCCCATCAGTGCTCAAGTTTCTGCCATAGAAAGAACTTGTCACTTTAAAATTTTTCTGCAGATTTTCCTATTAATGATTGCACCAAATGATGTCACTATCTTAAATCTTTTGCAAATCAATAGAACAAGATTAAATAATTTGTACACACACACAAAAACACACGCACCTACACACACACGCACGCACACACACACACACACACACACACCAAGAAACCCCTTAACCCCAAATCAAATCTGAAGGAGTCGCTTCTTATATTTTGAGTCTGAATGATTGATGATTGGAAAGAGAACCTCAAAAGAAGCCATCCAATAGTCTTTATCCCTAATGCCATACTCGGGTCAAATTTATCTGCCACAGTGATTCAGAAATACCCTAGATAAAACGATTGTAGCTGATATATTTCCTACCTTGACCTTTTAGACCCTAATTTAATTACGGCGGCACGGTGGCTGAGCGGTTTGCTTCTCAACTAAAAGGTCCTGGGTTCAAATCTCGGTTGTAGCAGGGTCATTTTGAGTGGAGTCTACATGTTCATAGGTTTCCTCTGGGTGCTCCGGTTTCCCCTACCACTAAAAACATGTACAATAGGTGTGAACGAATAATTTGTTTGGCGTCCCGCTTTTGTCATCACCGCGTGTAAATGGAAAAATATCTGAATTCTGAACTTTTTAAAGCACTTTGAGTGACCTTGGTCTGTAAAATGCGCTATATAAATAAACATTAGGAATTTTTCGTCTACTTTTAATCATCTGGCGGGACATTTTGACCCAGTGCTAAATGGATACTTAAAACCCAAGCCTGGTGGTAGCACTGCAGTTTTGTGGGTTGTAGTGAAAATGCCGTCTGTGGATTCTATTGGCTGCTAAATCCATCTGCTTCTTGGGAATGTCCCCGGAGCGCAAAGCCATTCCGGGAGATTCCCACAAATTCCCCACATTTATTTATCTGCACTGAAAAACACACATGGTCCACACAGTCCGGTTTGTTCAAATGAAATGTGTCATTACTGTCATTAAAACAGATGGAGGTGTACATGTGTTTGAGTTGAAATAACAGGAGAGATAGAATCAGTAAAAGCACCGGAGATGTTTGGAGAAGATGTATTTCCCTGGGAGAGTTGTTCTTAAGGGCGTGAGAGAAATATAAAAGGTGTTTTTCTTTGTGTGGGCAAAATAAGCACTTTCAAGAGATGAAAAGTTAAAGTCCCAATGAGAAGTGTGTCTAAATTAATGACCCAGTTTTTATAGTTTGACCAAAAAAAAGCATTCTTTCATCAGATTGTAAAAAAAGGAAGTAGCCATATGAAGCTGGAGGAGTCATATTTTTGGGTTAGAATAATGTATTTTGTTTAATTAGCGAGACAATGTAGGGCACACATTTCTCGGGGGGTGCAAGATCAAAGAGAGGAGGAAGACTAATCCCCTTACTGTAATGTCATGATGTGGGAAATGATGGCAAAGCACAAGAGAAAGTTACGCTTTTTAATCCAATCAGAGCTCTGAGCTAAATTGTGTTCGTATCCGTTTTCACCTTCAGAAAAGATACATCAAAGTTTGTTCTTTCTGCAGTTTATGAAGATTAGCAGAGTAGGATCGTGTGGACCCGTTTATGTCTGGTTCATATTTATACCACCCTTTGCCTTGGTAATGATTTTGGATGGTTTTCATGTGGAGTATACAAATGAAAAGGTTTTGGTCAATGGATTTATAAAACCCTATAATTCAATAATGTGTTTTATTCAAATGCACCAAAAAGAAAATTATTATAAAAAAGAAAATCTAGATTATTTGTCTTCAGGATTAAGTTCTTTGTTTCCCACATTTTTGAATATTCTACTTTCAGCAGAATAATCATTGTCACACCATCAGTAGGGTAAAACTAACATGTCTTACGACGGTCCAGACTATAAAGATATATATTAACCTTGATTTAAGATAAATTTGAATGTAAATCTGAAGTTCCTAACAAGACATATTATCGTTGGTCACAATCTGACACTTTAGGCTGAGATAAAGTAGTTCTCTATGATTCTCTGCTGCATCTACAAAAGCTGATCTAAAAAATACATGTATGTGAAAACTATTGATCGAACCAAATTGCTTTGGAGCGAGGAGCTATAGCTAGAGGATTTTTATAACATTTTTTTCATTTCTGTAGTTTGAAAACTTTGTGTAACTAGTCAGAAATGTCTTTGTGAATAATGTCACACAAATAATTCAATCTGTCCACAACAAAAGTGCCTGAATCTGGGATATAACATTGTATACTTGGTTTTGCAGTGTCTTCACTTTATCAGTCAAAAAACGAGGGTCATATTCTTTGCAGTGGTGACACTTTGTCCTTGAGCACTGCAGCGTACCGTATTCAACACAAGAGGCTCATATTTCAATGTAAAATAATATACTTTATTATGACCGAGAGATCAATACAAAGCAGTTTTATGTTTAGCAATGCAATTTCCATGTGGCTTTTTATTCTCCAGAGAACACAAAGGACACAACATGGACACGTGTAGCTTCTGCAAAGGGACAAAGCAGCAGTGGAATGTATAGCTTTTCGATTGGATAACACAACATTCACAATAATAAAATACATACCAGGTTTTTCAAACTTCTGATTTGAAACGTGGTAAAGGAACACAAACTGGTTATGGCCTTGGAGAAACTAAAATAATAATGTCAAATACAAAAAAAGGTATTTTTTGTACATATAAATATCAATAACAAAGGCTGTGAGGTTGCCTTTTGAGCCAGTAAAGCTTTAGACCATGCAAGGTTCCATACTGTACCACAAATTCATATATACACAACATAAAAAATATATACACAAAATAATAATACAAAAATCAACCTTTTTTCGGCTAGAGAATATTTTACAGCAATACTTGAACACACTGAAAAACAGCCACACATAGCTTAACGGGAGAAAAAGCGGCTAATGCTAACACTACGAGGTCAACAAAGGTACTTAAATACACATTTGCATTAATAAGCTGTAAAAAGTAGATACTCCAAATACATTTATATAGTTATATACATAGGATAAATACTGATCATTCTGAATCCCTGGATTGCTGAATGGTTTTACAGGCAGCAAGACTGTGCCACTATTCTATCAATTGTGCTTCACATTTCGTTAGAGGTATGGTCTTTTTCAGCACATCCTGTTGTATATTATGCAATCGTGTTTCAGGGGGACATAATATTATGTTATAGATCTCTTTGATGGCAGCAGCTGTTTCTTCTGTACTTCCTCCATAATGATGAGTCACACTGCCGTCTGCCTCATAAGTGCATCATTGTTGAACATTATTTCATCTGTAATTTGTCCTCAAAACCATTTGCTGCATTTACGAGGAAAATCACACAAAAACAGTCTCCCATAGTGAATGTTACAAGAGTTAAGAGATGAAAACTGCACAGAATTTCTGTGGTCCTCAAAGAGGCTTCAGAAGGTGACAATCCTGACATGTTGAATTGAGTTAAACATCACTATCACTGCTCAGTGATCCGATTGGGGGATTTTCCTGCCCACGTATCACCTTCACACAATTAAGGCACCATTTAAACCCCTGAGGGGTCATTGGGTTCTTCTAATAAGAAGAGCAAGAATAACACACATTAGCAACAACAGCAGCTCACTTCGATGAACGAGGGGAATGTCAGTGGGACATCTTTCTGTGTCTCAGTCCTGCAGCTCAGAGTCAGTATCCCACATTGAGCTTGTTCTTGTTGAGTTCTCGCTCCAGGTTTCCTATGAGCGTGTCGATGCTCTCCTGCAGGTCCCTCAGGTTGACCCTGTTGCTCAGCACTGGGCTGATGTCCTGGATCTTCATGTAGGCCTGGTACGTGTGTTCTTTGTGCTGTATGTGTCGCGGGGGCAGGATGTGTTCACACAGGCGCTCCTGCTGCAGCTCTGGGGGCGGCTTTATTGTCTCTGCCACAACCTGAGTCTGCTCCTCTTCCTCCACCTCCTCTGGCTCCACACTGGGGGCCTGCTCTTGCTCCACACACTCAGAACTCTGATCGGACCCTGTTGTGCTGACGTCCTCTCTCTTCTCCTCTGCTGGGCCGTCGTTGTCCTCGGAGGCCACGTCATCGTAGTCCGCCTCCTCTCGACACGCAGGAGGCAGCATCTCCATCGGGAAATAGTTCTCCCCACAACCGCTCCAGTCGCCAGCGTAACGGTTACTGGGACTATCCAGTCGGCCTGGTTTGGGCCTCAGCACACCTGCCATCTCTGCTTCTGACAAGTTCAACACCTGGGGGCGCTCTTTCCTCCGCCTGATTGGAGGAGCAGAGAGCAGGTCCAGGGAGGTGGGGATCACAGTATCTGCAGAGAGCTGTGCCGGCTGGGCTTGAGGGTCCACAACTACAACAGAAAATAACACAAGAAACATATGTGAGAAAAAATTATCTTCACAATAAATTAGGAAAACACACACCCATGCTTTAAAAAGATATAGAAGTAACATATTGTATGTTTAATTAAAGCTGGGTTATCTAACATTTAAACCACAAAAATTAGAACTACAGTATAAAACATGCATGTAGGCGTCTGTCACATCTTTAGATCAGCTTTTTCAGACTGACAAGAAAAACAGAGAGGGCCGCTCTTCCTCAGCCAATCAGCTCTCAGTCTGATAGAGTCAGATAGTGACTCACAGAGCTCCTTCTTTGTTGTGTTGTGGTCTGATTTGTTCACAACATTTTACTTTCACTGAAAAAGGGAAAGGCAAAGGCAATACACATGCTATACAAGCCAAAGCACACCAACACAAGCTTACACAAAGTATTAGATAGTTTTTTATGTGAAAAGGAGAAAAAATACTATATCATTGTTCCACTCCAGTCCAACCCACACTGTCTGTTACCTGTCTGTCAATCTACACTGTTGAGATGGCTAGCTCTCTCTTACTGTATTAGAAAAGGACAAAACAGTTCGAGGCAAAAGAGTTACTTCAAACAAACATAACGAACATACATAAAAAATTGAGTTCATTTTGGTTCATTCATACAGAGGGGTAAAAGCTCGGACCATCTAACCACACTTAGGTCATGAACCAAAACACTTATCAACTAAAACACGCAAGAGCGATGCAATAAACAGACATTATGTTATTTCATTCTAGACATGATTCAGTCATTATTTTAATTATTAGCTCTGAGCACAAAGACAAAGCAGGGACTTCAGTTAGTTTGGACAAAGTGGAAAAGTTTTGTTATGGGCAGATTCTGGAAGAACTGAGGCCTTTACAGTCTTAAAGATATAATATTGAAATTGCAACATGTAGGGATGCACTGATTGAGAGGTTTTTGATGGATATCGATGTTTAACATAACAACTTGGTCAATATTTTGTCTTTAATTTATATACATATATGTTTCTTGGCGGCTTCAGTTTTTTGCTTTTCTTCAGCTTCATGCAGTTGCTGTACACCGCCTCATGCTTCTTCCCTCTTGAAATCTCACTGAACCCAAACTGCAGAACGCTGATCTTTTTATGATACTGTAAAATATTGCCAAACGACCGCCGCCATCTTCTTTGTTTCTTCTACTGAGGAAAGTTTGTAGAAGTCCTCTACTGGTGTCTCTTTATACGCGCCACCATCGGCGAATGTCATTTTTATTTGCGAATGGCCGATGGTAGTTAACAAGCGTAGAAGAATGTGTATTTTTAGAATGTGGCTGTGATCGCTGTGTGGGATCTAAATCTTAAAAGAGGACATATTCTGTTCTCTATAATATGATAATCTCTGATCTCTGTGGTTCTTAAATGTATGGTTTAATCAGCTGTATCAATGTCGAAGAAATGAGTCACATAGCTCAACCGGGGCGTCAGTGAAACACATGCAATTATGATTTTTTTCTTATTATGAAAAATTATTCATTATTTTTCGATTATGTAAATATCTTCCACGTATAACAGACTAAGAAAAGAAAAATGCCAAAGTAAGTAAGTAAAATTGAGGGAATATGCTCAATGCTGGTAGTCAGAGGACTGAGGAGAGAGCAATGCCGGTGCGTGTATAGGAGGATATAAGTAACTCAAACATGCATGAATCACACTAAAAACAGCTTTTTGTGTGACAGGGAAAAATACTGTAACATGGTCAAAAGCTGACAAAAGCACATTTAAACGTTACAGTGACTTAATTGAGGAGATTGCGTATTTTGGCCGTATTTTGGCACACGTGAGGTGGAACACAACAATGCAGTGTGCGTGTGAGAGGTGTGAAGAGCCGCTGAAAATATCCTGTAATGGTTGTGAAATGCTAGGGTGAAACTTTGGGGCCTGAGGGCTAAGGTTATGTCTGGAATGCCTTTAATTATAGTCCAAGAGTCCTACACTGCAAACCCACGTTACGCGACACAGGAAAGATGTCAGAAAATGGTAAACAAAGAGGAAAAACCTGGAGTTTCGAGCAGGTTAATACGTGTCACTCCAGGAATTCTCTATTCTCTATAATGGGTTTTTTTAAAGACAAAAACAAACCGGTATTACTATATTGATTCATATTAGGGCAGTAATTATTTTGAAAATCGATTCATTGGCTGATTAATTGGTTTGTTGTTTAGAACCCGGCTTGGAGGTGAATATGGAAGTTTACATTTGACCAAAACAAAGCTAAATATCTTCATAGATGTATGAAGTAGGGCTCTGATTAATATCTTTCTAAAACACTATCTTTCTGATTGTATTGTCAATCCATTAATCAGGCAATGGTTTTAGTGTTCAAGTTCAATTTATCTTTATTGTCCCACTGGGGGAGACTGGTTTTTCAGCAAACAATCATCTTAAAACAGGCAGACACAGTAAAACCACAACATTGAAGAAAAAAAGAGAGATTGTCACAAAGCTAATTCAGTGCAAATATGCTGTAAAGTGCAAAAGTCTTTACAAAGTGCTATGTGTTGTTAAGGTGCACATACTAGTGGACCGCAATTAGTATTAGCAGTTGTTGAGATTGTGTCTGAGAGTCAAGACTTTTCACACAAAGTCTTTCTGAATTGCAACTGTCTCCAATGGAAGTCACCAACAATCATCTTTCTAAGCCCCACTTGCACTGACTGAGCTGTCCACACTTATGGGATTTACAAGTGGCTCATTCAGCTGCCACCCTCACGTCATCTCCCTTGTTTTAGAGCATGTAAAAGAAAGGGGTGGATGCCCAAGGCCGCTGGTGGTTTACACCAAATTGGCCCAGTGTGGGAGTCGGAGGATGCAGTTAAATTTAGACGGCACAAGCCAGACACAGAGTCAGTGCTGCTGCAGACAGAACTCAGCAACTCTGCTCATGGCCCAGGTTAGAGGGATTAACTGGAGATTTGGCCCTTTTGTGGCGATGTAAGATGTTTTTAACAAGTGTGGATTTTTAAGAACAATTACGTTTTCATTCATTTATTCATGTATTTCAAACCTGCAGGTGTATACAAACGGGAAAACAAAAACACAAAATTTGCTTGGTATGAAAGTCAGATGTTTTGATGAATTATGAAAGGGTTAGGGTTATTAAAATCTAAATAATGAATAACATCAATGTTTTATTTTATGGATTTACAGTTTAATACATTGGAGTCTGGTGTATACATTGGTCTGCTGCATCTAATTGGTAGGTATGGGTAAATATTTTAAGAATCCAATCAATTTTGTTGTTATAGTTGGGATTTTCTGTATCAATCTGCCCATCACTATTTTGTTTTATTTTCATGTGAATTATTTTGCCAGTCAGAAGTAATCCTGGATGCTGGACCCAGACAGTGATCCGGGTCACCTCCAAAATGAATAATAATTTCTTTCTATTTGTAAGACCTAATGAACATTTAATAAAACTCCAGCTCTAAACTTGTTGCTAACTAACAAACAGACAAACAAACCCTGGTGATTACAGTACCCCTCTAGTGGAGATCCCCAGGCGCTACAGGCTGGGTCAAACGCAGAGCACTACTTTCTTCAACAACTGAACCCTAACGTTCTTTCATCTATCAGTGAGGACAGACAGCTGCAAATGGGCAACAGGACAAATGGTGTTGAATGAAATTGGTTCTGGTAAATTTATCTTAAGACACAGCGCCACGCCTCACGGTTGGTTTACATTGGGACCGAAGAGCAGCAAGTTTGATCTGAGTAAGACTAACACATGGCGGCCACAAGATATCAGCTGTGCTCAGGCCAGAGCGGACAACCTCAAGGATCAAAGCAGGGCACGTTTTAGCAAAGAGACCACAGAGCGAGGGCAGATACACACACTCCCATTTAGGAAAAGTATAAGTTGGGTTTGTGGAGATGCAAGCTGCTAAATGTTTTCACTTATTTCATTCAATGCATTTTAAACAGACAACATGGAACAGGTTTATATTTCAGGAAAATTGTTACATTCTGATGCTTTAATTGCATATATAAACAATTACTAATTCATCTCATAATATTCGGAGATTAATTGTTTATTATTATTATTTTCACTTTAAAGTCAAAATATTCTGACTTTAATCTCATAGTTTATGAAAAACGGGTGATGCTTTGACGTAGGAATCCAATTGAAGTAATATAGATAGAGAATGTATACGTAACAAGAACTGCTGAGTCTGTACAAGTGTCACAGATAATAATTCACAAGTAACTTAGTCACTCGTCACTTTACCCGTTATTATTATTATTTACCTGTTGTTATTATTACTGATGTTTATTCTGCTCATATTCTCCGCTGCTAAAGTACAATATACACATCTGTAAATACTTCTGAACCACGTGCAATTATCGCTCCAGAGTTTATTTAATTTTTTCTTATTCTATTTTACCATCTTATTTTAATTATATTGTGTATTATCTTAAATTATACACTCTGTTTAATGTGTGCAATCTGAGTGCTCTTATTTCCTTCTTTCTCTGCTGTAACGTGCGCAACGACGACATTGAAATTTCTCCACTGTGAGACGAATAAAGGAATATCTTTTCTTATCTTCGATAGATAAATAGATACTTTATATTGATTACCGTTTCCAGCGCATTCAAAAGTAAACTAAAAAGTATGTTGAGATTTTTCCAGTGCATCTTTCAAAGCTTATACCGAGTGATGAGATGTACCTGGCCAGAGCTGCAGCAGGTAGTGCAGGACCTCGATGTGCTTCTTGAAGTGCAGAGCGCTGGCGAGCTCCTCCGAGTCGATGAAGACCCGGTTGGAGTGACACGAGGCCTCCTGCCGCTGACTCAGCAGCACGGGCCCAAAGCACACAGCCAAGTTCTGACATGTCATTTTGTTCACCTCCTGATACGACGCCACCAACTTCAGGTGGTTCAGCAGCTTGTGGAGAGTCACCTGGAGAAAGACGCCAATTAGTTTTATACATGTAAATACAAGCTGAGACGACACAGAGAGGAAAACGGCAAACTAAAAATGAAAGCATATTGCACATACTGCCGCATGGATAGTACGCATATTTTACTTTCCCTGTCTACTCAGAACATTAGACTTGTCTGTGTTGAATAAGAATGACAAGTTGGAAGTTTATAAGCGTCTGCATCATGCTTTTCAAAAATATACCTAAGATAAATGTCATGTCATTGCCATGTCATTTTCTTCCTCTTTATTATTTTACATTTCTGGCTCGTGGGGGTGGAGGGGGTATCAATCAAAGCAACCACCCAAGTCTCAAAGCACAAGTCCCTCACTGATCCTCCTGCAGGTGGTGGGTCCACAGGACGATGGCTTCTCTGTCTTCGTAGACAAAGTGTTGGTCTTTCAGCGGGGGCTTCAGGCAAAGCAGGGTTAAGCGTCTTGCCCAGGGACACAACGACTACAGACATCAGTGGGAGCAGATGACTGGGGTTTTGGGGGGGTCGAACCCACGAGTAATAAGGCCATAGATCAATGTTCTACCGACAGAGCCACTAAAAAATGTTTTAGTTCAATAAGAAATGTTTTGTAAATGTTATGAAATAAACATCTTCATTGCATCGTTCCAAGTTAAAATGTACTGCAACTATAGTCCTTTCCATTTTGGTTCTGAATGATACACAGCCCAAATTGCTAGCTTGCCAGTCCTGACCAGTCCTCCTCTTAAGCTGCAACCTTTATTGTTGTTTTTAGTTGTCATTTGATTCGCAGTGTACATATGAATCTCCTTCGTGTCCTCGGCAAAAAGCTCACCCTGCGCACTTCTAAATTACAGTGTGAGTACTTTGTGTATACAGAATGATGACATGTTATTTACCATTTTGCTTTCTCTTTGTGCCATTATTTAGTGGTGCGGGAAATGGCCGCGGCGTTTGTCAAGTCCACCACTAGCGGTTTCTAATGCGACACAAGTTCAGGCTATAATAACAGTAGTCATCGATAACATTATCATTATGGCTTGCTATTACCCAGGCCAAAATTATGCCCTTCTGCACCACCGGGGGCAGTGTCATCTGAACAGCAGTAGTGTCACTCAGTGTTGGGAGGACTATCTTGAATCTATAAATGTAACGACAGAGATATCATTAGTATATAGTATTTATAGTATATTTTTTAGTATATTATGACATTATACTGTAGTGTATGATTAAATTGGGGGCGACAGTGGCTCAGTTGGTAGCATGAGACCCTCTCCACCTTCTCCATCTACTCCCACTGATTTCTGCTGTCGTTGTGCCCTTGGGCAAGACATTTAACCCCACCCAGCTGAAAGATCAAGGCTATGCTCTCACTGACAGAGCAGCCATCCCCCTGTGGACTCCGTGGACCTGCAGGAGGATCAGTGAGGGGCTGGTGTTCGGTGAATTGGGTGCAGCTCTGATTGCCATCCTCCCAACCCAGAAACAAATTAAGGGGATGAAGATAGATGGATATAGTGTATAATGAAATACGATACAGTATGTAAAGTAAATGTGGCCTGCCCTTATCAAGATTCTAGATAATGACATCAACAAAATCACGAAAGATTCTTGATAAGGGCAAGTGTGTGAAGTCACAAACATCACGAGAAGTGCATGAGAGCGTAAATGCAACAAAAAATACCTATGACTTTATGTGCCAATACATGTGACAATGATTGAGTTGAGAGATGATATCACAAATACAACAAAGTTACAAAGTCGGCCTCTAGGATGGCAGCATGTTGTTAGAATTTAGAATACATATCTATTACATTTTAGACAGATAAGACAAGATCACTTCATCCAAACACATTTACCGTGTAAGGCCAAAAATGTTTGTTCACTCCACCAATGACATGTCTAATGTCCTGTCTTTCATTACCAAACAATGAAATACTGAACAGAGCTACTGAAAATGCATTAGGTCTGTCATGGTGTGGATTTTTTGTTATTTTGTACTTGGTTTTACTTTGACATTAGTTCTCTGTGGTATTTTGTTAGTTATACTTCCTGTGTTGTTGCTCTGTCTTGATTGTCAGAATCAGAATCCTTTTTATTGTCATGTGAGTAACAGGAAGTCACAAACTAGGAAATTGTCTGCTCCGCCCTGATGTGTTGGCCTGTGTCTCTCTGTGTCCCTGAGTACCTGTGCTCCTCTCCCCTTGTTGCTGGTCCAGTGTATTGTCTCCTTCCTTGTTCCTGGTTCCTGAGTTTGGTTTGGATTTTGAGTTGTGTTTACCTTGGACATTTATTTTATCATCTTTTTAAATAATTTTTTTTGCATTCCTACATTTTGAGTCCTGCTCTTTTCCACCAGGCGACAAGATCCAAACACTGCCCTCACCTTCTCAACGTCTGGCAGGATGTCCAGCAGAGCCACAGTGTGGTCAGAGTCAGTGCTCTCGTTCTCACAGCCCGAGGCTCCCATCCTCAGGGGTCTCAGCGCCATGGACTCAAGAACGGCTTCATACAGCTGCTTATTGATCAGAGGGAAGGGCAACTCCCGCAGGTAGTCCTTCAACACACCTGTAAAAATGACAAACAAGAAGCACATGAGGCAAACATGACGGGATTGTTGACACATTAAAGTAGCAATATGTAAAATTTTCATGTCAAGTCATCATTAAAGGGCCCTTATCTGTCAAAAAGGCATTAATAAAACATGCTCTTTTCCAATACTTCTTTAACGGATAACAATAGTTCAGGGATATTTGAATTTCCAAATTAGTTTTACAGCCCCTATATCTTCTAATTGTTTTCATTTAGATGTCCCGCCCTCCACCGTATCACCAATCAGAAAGTCTGTGATCCGGGTTGCGAGAACTCACCGCGTCGAACTTATCTCACTGGTAAAGTAGCATGTGGCCACAGAACTAAAAAAGGTCTCATTATGATTCTCAAATCATTAACAACAAAACAAGGTGTCAGTAATAGATTTGTTGTTGAAAAAACTCCTCTCGACCATTCAGATTTCTATGGTCCCAGATGGATTTGTCTGCATATCTGGCAACCTGAGTCAGGAAGAGTGGGAGAGGACTACAGAATATTGACTATGATTGCAGTACCACTTTTGGCCAGATTTTTACAAACTGCTCCTTTAAGGGTTGGAATATAGTCTATAGTGCTTCGGTCGAGGACATTATGGATTTGTAAATTGCACTTGCTGGATTATTTTGGAATTTTGTTGCATTACTATGAAAAGAATGGAGCAAAAACTAAATAAATACAAATAAACGAGGTTGGAGGTGATATTTGATGAAGCTACAGTAAAACGTCATTATCATCCCAGTCATTAAATATCATACAAAAAAAGAAAAATCCATATCATCTGTGTTTAACTCAGTAACTCCATAACAAACAGGGAGACTTATACTTTGAATGCAGATGTACAGAGCGACCAGCGCCCTGAAAGAAGACGGTATGAATGAAGCGTGCAGCATTTCCCTCTTTACATCATTCCTTCTATTTACAGCAGACTACAGTGAGCTGGAGTGCAAATCCTCAGGCATGATCCCTCAGCCTGGGAGCAGAGAACACAGAGCACAACTTAATACGCTCACATTGTAATCCTAATTAGTCTCTGCTCTGTTTTAAAAGCTTCCTAAACACTTTCACTCGGCCACCATTTTACAAGTGGTTTACAAGAATGTGTTCTTAATGAATAACACAAAGACTAAATGTTGACTTTACGCCCCAGATTAGTGAGAATACACACTTTTGGACTTGCATTACTTACTACAAGGCCTGATTAACGACGATTATTAAGTGAAGGATCCTAGCACTTTACATGTGACATCACAAACAATAACGTCACTTTGAAGAGTGGGGTGCAGCTCGCCAAAGTTGATGATTTTGACTTCAGAATTTAAGATTAAGATAAGATAAACTTTATGGATCTCACAATGGAGAAATGCACAAGTCACATTTGTTTATTGTCGTTTATTGGGGATCCCCATTGGACTCCACCAATGTTGCTGCTAATCTTCCTGGGGTTAATAAAAAAATAAAAACAATAAAATAAAACAATACAATGGGTTAGGGTTATCATATTTAAGGCATGAATCAAATACTAAGGCAAGATAAGTAAACAACACAGGGGGAACAAACAAAATTCTTTGTCAACGTTTGGCATAGAAAGAATCGTTCAGGGTGTGCAAAAAGACAGGAAGTGTGCTAAAAAGATATGTTAGAAAGGTTACAATATAGTCTCTTTTGAGCAAGATATAATTTGTTCTTACTTGATTTCAGTTTTTTTTGTAATTTTGAACAGCACTTTATAAACATGAATTTACATTTTTATATTAGCTGCAGTAAAGGAGATGGTTCAGGCCAAGACAATGGGTCTTATCATAAACCGTAAATACTAGCGGGTGTGCAACAAAAACAGGAAGTGGACAAGGTTTTGTTTCATGTGTAAAATTATAGATAAAATAGTTTAAGTTTGATGAATGAGGTGTAAAGGTCTGTGGAAAAGTAAGTAACAACGGACGTCCTCGAAAAAGCTTCATGTCAATGGGTCTATTCTTAGATAAATAAATAAATAAAGTCTACTCTTGTTAGAATTTATGTAATCACCAATAAATCACAAATGTTCTGGCAATCTCACTCCTTTCTAGAACATTGGTAGAATGCTCTAATCTCGAATGAAAACTGCAATAAATGAACAGCACATGAAAAATGCAGTGGATGTTAATGTTTGGGAAGTATGGTTCGTTCAAGAGAAAGATTAATCATTTATACACGTTATTCAAGTTTCCCAATCTTCACAGTAGCGTCGACAACAGCGTAACATGCAGCGGTTGTTGCTCCATAATCACAGCACATCAATAATTAGCGGTTGAAAAGTGTTTAGTGACAACTGCAGTCTGGATTTCAACACTCGCCCCCACTTGCGCTCGCTGATATGATGGCGCATTCCTGGGAGAGTGAGTGGTGCCTCTGACGGCAACAACATGCCAAAGCTCAACAAGACACCCCATACCGCCCCCACCCTACCCCCCCCCTCCCGGCCCGGAGCAGACTGACAGCCCCGGTCAATCTCCACAGCCACATCTCAGCTTAAAACTATGACACACAACATTTATCATATTATTTTGTTACTGTTGAAAGCCAAAACTCTTTCTGGTGACTAAACAGCTACTCCAATGTTCAATCCAATCCACTTCATATACTGTATATAGCACATTTTATAAACAGTTTCCAAAGTGCTGCACAATAAAAGACTAATTAAAACAAATCCATAGTAAAACAGTAAAATCATGAAAAATCAAATAGGAAAAAACCATGTGTGCATATATGTATAAAAATAAAAATAAAACAATAAAAAAATATAGAAGGACCATTCAACTCACGCAGTGTTAAAAGCCAGAGCATAAAAATAGGTCTTAAGATGAGACTTAAAAAACTCCACAGAAAGAGCAGTTTGAATATGGGGGGTAGAGCGTTCCACAGCTTTGGTCCAGCCACAGAAAAGGCCCTGTCCCCCCGGGTCCTAAGTCTCGTCCTAGGAACCACAAGCTGGAGCTGGCCCTTAGACCTCAGTGCGCCCTCAACTATATCTGCATTACTGGTGTCTTAAATCTGCAGATAGAGGTCACATCATACAGAGCGTGATTTAATCTATATTTGTTTTGTTTTGCCAGTTTACCATTAAAGAATATATGCCATTTAAAATCAAAATCTTACAAAACATAAACAGTAGAAGGACTATGTAGGATACTGGTAAACAGACAATTATAAGGTGTACCCACAGCAAATTATTAGCTTAAAACTATATCATGGAATGTTCAAGGTCATTTTTGTTGAAGTTTACATGCTTGCGAATCCACAAACATTATGACAATTTCCATTTAAAATCTGCAGTCGTCTAGAAGAACAACGTTGTAGAGTACATTCGTGTTGGACATTTAGAAACACTTATGGACTTTGGTTTTGGTTTTTTCTCTGATCTGTGTTGGCGAATTCAACGGTTGTGCAAAGTCCTCCAAAATAACTACTGTTGTAATTCAGGGCTGTACAAAAATACATCGAATTGAAATAGAATTACCAATCAATCTAATAATAAAAGTGTTGCTATGTAAGTAAGTAAGTGTGTAAGTGGCTGTGAATATTCTTGAAGCTGGAAAAGTTCTGGTTCTAAACTCTAAATATTATGTCTCTGTGTTTCCTACAGTTGTGTTCCACGTCTTCATCTGAAAGGCCGGATAAGCGCACACTCGATGCCTGTAACTGATTAAATGTTAAGAATCTTTAGGAACATCTTGTGGCTTCATCAAGTCAATACTTCTGCTCTCCTCCGGTGATGATAATAATCAGTATGTCGCATCACCACGAAACAACTTGCCTTGAAGAAACTCAAACCATGTTTTATCTTTATCTGAAGACGGGAATTAAACAGTTGTTATGAGCTGCATAACTTTAATTCACTTTACTCCAAACTTGTCTCAATACATAACAAATGGTGTGTAAATAAATGTAATCAGAAATAAGCCGGGATAGTATTCACGTTGTATTAAAATGGTACAAAAATACCTAATTACCATAAAGTACATTGAATATGACCACATAATACCCTGGTAAAAATCTAACTTTTAGCTTTTTTTTATTAAACAAAAATATATATATATATTTTTTTCAAATATAAATGAGCCTCACTTATAGTAGCAGGCAATAAACGTATGCATTTCTCAGAGTCCAAACTCTGCTCGGGCTGCTTTTATTGATCAGGGTTGACAATAGTAAGGCCCATATTACACACACATGCACGTGCGCAGTGTACATGCTCGGCTCAGGAGTGGGAAATAGGCAGTTCAGGTAAATCATTAGTCTGCATGAGTCACTGATTGTGTTTGGTGCTTGGCTCCTGCTACACAGTGTCATACATAACACAAGGTCAGACTGAGCAGGTGCAGAGGAGCAGGTGTTCAGCAGGCGTGCAGCAGGCGCGCAGCAGGCAGGACGTACTGGAGCTCCCTAACTTCAGCTGCAGGACTTCAGTTGTAAACCTCATCATTTATGCGACATAAATATACATAGAATTTAAACAGGTTTGTAAACTGTGTGAGTGTCAGGATTAAGGTCCAGTTTATACGGAGGCGCTGCGCAGACGTTGCCAAGCTATTAACAGAAACGACCAGGCTCCTTATGCAAATTTCACAGCGTTCATACGAGGATCAAAAACGATGTAGTTCTAGCGCCCAGACAGTAGTGGGCAGAGGAACTTCACAACACGACACAGCCCCAGCCCCTCCAGCAGTATACTAACTTCTTCTGCAAGACGTGAAAACCAAAATCATTCTGCATTTTAACAGCAGCTGCAAAAATGGAAACTGATTCTACAGATTTGCGTGGTCTCGATTGGACGAACGAAGGAGTAGAATCCTTCTTGCATAGGGTCAAGCAAGATGGCGCCTATGTTTGGTTGTGCCTCTGCTCGTCACCTATATTGTTTTCCTGTGTTTTACATTACATCCACTGCCATCCTGTCTGCTCTAAAAACCAGCGACTGTGCCGTGGCTGTACAGACC